ATAAATGTCCAGTTCTGTGAGGCCCAGTTCTTCTTGCGATCAGAATTTGAGAAATTTCCCTGTATCATTACATAAATCCCTTTTATTTGAATGAGGTTTTCTTTCTTTCTTTTTTTTTAACAAGAGAAGTGCTCTGATTCCCTAGTTGACTATTTCTCCAAAAATTGATTATGCATTTACTTCGTGGCTACTGCTCAAGGCATCATAAAGGATACCAAGATCAACAAGACCTGGTTCTTGACCTTGAGAAGCCCAGTTTAATGGAGGAGGCATATAGACAATGTCAGAACAGTAGGGAAGGTGGCTACTGAGCTTTGCGATTACTTGCTAAGCACTGAGTAAACATTAGCTGCATCTCAGTGGTATCTGGTAAGGCCAGAGAAGACCTCAAGGAAGACTTGAGAGTTGATCCATACCTTGAATAATGAGTTTTTGAAGAAGAGGAGGAAGAAGACAGAAGGTGTTTCAAGTGGAGAGAAAGTTAGCACAAAGGTATGGGAAACTGTGGTATGTGTCTGGGAAACGTGAGTGGTGTGAGGGCAAATACAAATTAAAAAGAAGAGGCTTAATTTTCCTTGTCGGAAATAAGGGAAGAGACTTCTCCCTCACCCCTCCCTTTTCTGACAAAATTTCTTCCTCTGTCCTTGTCAAGTGTACGTAAATCTTAGTAATGGCTAAACAAGTCTTTCCTAGCCTCACAGTCCCTCCACCTTTCCTCAGGGACCTGGGAGCCCCCTCTTTGAAATGCAAACATCAAGGGCTATGGAGCCAGGGGCGCCTGGGTGGCTCAGTTGGTTAAGCGACTGCCTTCGGCTCAGGTCATGATCCTGGAGTCCCGGGATCGAGTCCCGCATCGGGCTCCCTGCTCAGCAGGGAGTCTGCTTCTCCCTCTGACCCTCTCCCCTCTCATGTGCTCTCTCTCTCATTCTCGCTCTCTCGAATAAATAAATAAATAAAATCTTTAAAAAAAAAAAAAGGGCTATGGAGCCAGATCTCTGTTCCTTAGGAGCGTCACATCCTGACTTCCCTGGGCGCCTTGCTCCAATTTGCAAAACTATCTCTTGGAGGTAAAGATATGAAAAGTTTGTTTCTCCTATGGATAAAGTCAACACAGGTGGTCTCCCCAGTTACAGGATAAAGTTAGGATGAACTATGAATGACAAAAGGTGCTGTCAAATCTTCTTACTTGAGGACCAGTTGTTTATCTTGTAAACATGTATGTAATGGGTTCCATCCACTTGGCCATACAAGGGGGTGGTTCCTTTCTGCCTTTGCAATTTCTTAGTGGATTGCTGATGGCGTGCATCCCTTTTGGTTTAACGTTCATTCAACAACAAAAGTGTTTTCTCTCACTACTACCTTTGTGGAGAGGATTTTGGGGTTGGAAGGTCTTGTTCTTAATTATATTTCCCCAACAGTGGATTGGTTTCTTTGGAGTTGTACAGGTTACAGAAGGCAGGGGGAGAGAGGACGCTTGAGGGCAAGCCTAAGGCCTGAGAACAGAAGATTGCTGTGTTTGAGTGTAGGATTTATCCCATAAGGCAATGAAGAGATCTGGGAGATTTATAGTCAGGGAAGAGAAATAATGAATTTTCCCGTCGTAGAAAAATGACCCCGGTAGTAATGTGGAGGGAGAAGGGTTAGGTGGCATAGCACTAACTGTGGGCTAGATAATAATCTTAAAATACTATTTAAAGGTTTTCTTAGTCTGTTATCACTCAAAGGTTATTCTTGGATTGACCTTTCCCTAAGCCCTGTAACAGTATCTGGACCTGCGTATGTCTATTTTTACCACAGGGGCATCTCTCCAGGCTGTGGAGAGTAGAGGACAAAAGTCGTGGTTGTGACTGCCTGTCTGCCCCTCCTGAGCCATTTTTCCTGAATGGTTCGAGTGCCCCTCTGGCCCCACAATCTCATCCCAATGACTCTGGAGGTCCCAAGCATCTTCAGGATCTACAAGATCTCTGACAGTGTCTTTCAGGAGAACGGAGTTGCTTATTACAGTGGTCTCTACCGTTGGCTGGTGCTCAGTTTATGGTGAACACTCGCTTGAGATTCAGTGAGGCACAAAAGCCTCATTTATTAGCAGCCCCTGCCTGGGGCCCCAAATTGTGAGCAACGAATACCTGGATTCATGTGAGTTTAGCTTTTCCTACTACAACAACCCATCAACGGATTTCTTTAACGTGGGACTTTGGAAATAGAAATTGACAAGAACCAAAACACATTGAATGAGCTACACATATGTTTATTAAATAGTTAACAAAGGCACATCAATAACCACTCACTACACACATATATATTTAATTAACACAGATATGTTTCTCTCTTAATTGCCAATTTCCCCAAGAAAGAATTGTTCAACTCTTCAGTTGACGAAGGCTAAAGGCAAAGTCTTGATCCCGATCCTATTCTTCCCCACCCTCCCCTCAAGACCGACATTGACCCTCAATGAGTTGACCATCACTTTCTGTAGCCACAACATCTCTAGAAGCATGCTGACTGCAGAGACTCCTCAGATTCCTTCGGCACTCTCTCCGGTCCTGTTGGCAATAACCAGGCTGTCTGCTTTAACCAGTGTTGGTCGCCATTGCTTGTTGCTGTGGGCACACTGTTACCCTGTGATTTTTCACCCATCCCCCTCTTTGCACCTGTAACATAACATGCAATGCACTGAATCATTCATTGGGGGGGGGAACCTCCCTCATTCTCATTGGGAAAACATGCGATTTTTCTTGCATCTGTTCCGCTTTGCCCCAGGTGCTCTGCCTGACTGCACTGCACGTCATTTCCACGCACAACACAAAAATGCCCGCTACGCTGACCAGAACTTTCTTCTTATTCTGACTTCCACTTTGTAATGCTGTGCTTTTGCTTTAGGCATCTGTTTGTAAGGACAGGAATCAGACCTGCTGTTCCTCTCACAAACCTCACCCTTCCATCCGGGTGGCTGTCCTCTCGGCTCTTATTTTATTCCCCACGTACCCACTGTCCTCCTGCTCAAGGGAAAAGCGTAAGTCTGGGCACTGAAAAGAAAATCTGGGAGGGCTCAGTTAAACGAGCACGGCCAGTACAAGAAAGAGTAAAGAAAAACATCTGAGTATGTGTGTCTGTCTGTTGAATATCAGCACGTGTGGGCATTAGACTCCTCAAGAAATGTGATCACGCCTCAGGCCTATCCTGTGTCATGCTCTTTACCACAGATACTGACCATGTGAGTGGATTCTGGCCTGTGGAATTTTGGAATGTTTACCATCTAGTCAGTAGTTTAGGTTCATTATTATATCAGAACTTTCCCGACAATAACAAAATTACAAGAGCCTTCCTTGAGGGCCTTCTTGAGGTGGTGAATGACCACACCACTTGTCCCCAGGAATGTGATCACTGCCTAAATGATGTTTGTTCCACTAAAACAACACGTGTCTCTCATCTAGGCATGTGGCCTTCTGGTATTTGGCCACCCGAGAGTCATGCCTTTTTACCTTTTATCGATTTATTGTTTAAGTAAACGCTACGCCCCACGTGGGACTTGAACTCGGGACCCCGAGATCGAGCGTCGTGTAGCTCCACCGGCTGAGCCCTCCAGGTTCCTTGAGTCATGCCTTTTTAAATACAAACACTCCCAGGGGGCAGCCCATAAACACTGCCAGTCTAACACCGTGGTGTGATTGGTCTCTTAGATCTCAGCTAGGAGCTGCTCTCCATAGCCTGAGATGCCCAACGGGGAAGTTCTGAAGGAGAGAAATTCCAGATTTGTCTGGGTAAGCGGGCCTGATAAGTTGCCACCGTGGAACTTCTAGAGAACCAGAGGCTGTCGTGGGGGCTGACAAAAGGAGGCTCTTAGAAGGCTGCTGAACAGAGGCTGAAAAGTGCCAAGGTAAACAGTGTACATCCAGTTTTGCCTGTGGGTCAACCTCCCTCTGGCTCAACAGAAACTCCATTTTGATGGGGGTTGGGAATGCCTGCCCTAAATTCTTACCTATCACACAGCAGTTTCAAAGAAGACATAAACTGAATTTTGAAGAGGCCAAGACCTTTTGTAAATGTCTATATACTGAACTGGTCTTCATGCTGGGATTATCACGGACTCACAGAAACATGGAAAACACACCCGAGGGCCCAAAGTCGGCTTATCGAGAAATGCCACAGTGAGAACCACACTCGGAAGGAGTAAAGTGAGGCACGGGTGACAAGGGAGCGCTTAGCTCTGCAGGATTCAGCCGACACCGGACCCCCTCCTTGGCCCTCGGCACAGTTCTAGACGCGTGAAGAATACTCGAATCTGTCACAGCCTCTTCACCTCCATTTTCTATCAGCCTGCCTACCAAACGGTGGCCAATGTGAAGTTCCCAACTAGTGCTTTTTAAGTATTTAGAAATCTGACAGAATAAAGTATTACCGAGTTACATTTTGCTTTCTTAAAGAACAAAAATTATCTTTTTATTCCAGTGCCATTTGTTGGAGAAAAGCAATTTTAAGTGAGAGAAAACGTGATGGAAAAATTCATGCATCTCATTGTTATGAAACTGTTGATGCCCATCTTGAAAAAAAGCAACAGAATGAACAACACTGGTTTCACATGTTCCACTGAAGATGCAAGATAGAAACGAGTAACTGGAAAATACGAACTTCTAATAACGTATCTTAGGAAATGCCTCAGAATTTCTGAAGCATGATAGAAGCCAGTAAGCATTATCTCAAAATGTTTAGTTTTTTTTTTTTTTACTAAAATACAAATATGCCTTTCTTGTGTTAGTAACTTCAATATCAGAGAAATAATACATCTAATACAATGAGTGTATTATCTATATAATTCATAATACTGCAGGTATATTTGGAAATAAATTTCTTCTATATAAGAAATAGAACTTGGGACCAAATCATAAATTTAAATTTTATATTAGAATTACTAAATATTAGGATTAATATACTAGAACAGGAATAGCTTTTAAGTAAACTCCTAATGTGTGAATATGGATTCATAAAAAAAGACAGAACCATGAAATTTATGCATTTTATTAAAAGAACCAAAAAATAAACAACACAAAAGTAGCATACGAAAATGACTTACATAATGCACACTTCTAAACATAAACAAGCAGTACAGCACTATAACTTGGGGGGAAAAATGGAAAAAAAAAAATCAAAGCATCTACCCTATTGATAGCAGTTGAGGGAATGAACTATGGCATTTTGGAGGCAAAATATGAGTTTTCATCTGTGAAATATCATGGTCATTATTTAAATCTATAATTGTTGCACATGGCTAGTAATTTTCTTATCTACAGGTATTTTTAAATTGACATTCTTTTGTCCCAAATTTGTGCTTCATTTTCTACATTATACTGGATTGTTGTTATATAAACGCACAGTTAGCCCTTAAAAAAAAAAAAAGTGCATTTAGGAACATCTTTTCTTAAAATTTAAACGATTGTAATTTGGGGGTATGATAACAAATGGTTCATTTGCTAACAACTAAAGCAGCAACAACAATAATAAAAGGAAAGTTATTTCGAAAAGGGCAACCCCAGAGCCCAGCAACAGGGCGGTCGCATCATTCTCTCAACTGCTAGACACAGAAGACATGGCCACAGAGTCATTTGGCTTCTGTCATGAACAGATAGCATCTGCATACAGGAATAAAGCTTTGCAACCATGCACTTCTATGACAGATAAATCTTTAGGTTGTGTGTTTTGGGAGAAAAGAGCATGGCCTAAAGTGGGGTTACTTTTATTTAGGTCTTGTTACAGAGGTACTTTTTAAAAAAAAATCCTATGATGTAGAAGGTGACTAGTGAGAATTTTTGCAATACCTTCAAATAGTTGGGACTTAGAGTGATAGATTTTTTTTCCCTTTTTGGTCTACTATTATTGAGGATGGGTTCTATTTAAAGATAAAATTTCTCTGGAATCATCCTGCTTTGGAGTATTAATGGGTGGTTCTTTCCCAGGCAAGGCCAAGTGGAGCGGCTAGAAACTGTATGAACTAGTCAAACTAAGCCCTTTCCTGGGTTTCATGGCAGAGGTCCCTTTTGGGCCTCAAGTCATTCACATTTTGTTATGCTTCCTTCTCTAATCTGACTCACTGAAACACAGCTGCTGTGTTTCAGCTCCAAAGAGCGTGACCCAATGGCGGTCAGCATGGGCAACATGCCATCAATTAATTATCTTTTGTGATGCTTCTAGGTTCCTTCTTACTATTTTATAGATGATTCTTCTTCACTTAAAATTGTATATTTCTCTTGACCTTATGAAAATATATTCTTGTTGCTTATAGCTTCACCGGGAAATGTCAACACAAGAACGCAGGGTAAGTTGGGAAAACAGGTTGGTGATGAGGTGGAAGTTGGAGTCCCTAACTAGAGAATGCATGAATGCTTACATTTTGTACCAGTGGAAACGCTGGTCAGATGGTCAGGCTGTCAGTTGTAGAGCTGACTCTAAGTGATTAAGGGCTGAAGGGGTGGGGCGGGGGGAAAGAGAGAAATTTCTAACCAGCTGGCCCTGAGCTATTGGACAACTGTAAGGCTTGGATTGCTTTCTGGCTTTGGCTTGTTTTCCTCTCTCTGTAAGGGAGAACCAGCAAGATGGGTAGCAATACTAATACCAGCCCCCCGATCCCAGGATGGGTTCCTTCTCCAAGGCAGGGGCGACACACCCCAGGATGTGAAGGACCCAAAATACCCATGGTGATCTATCCTCACACCTTTCTAACCCCATTGCCTGGAGGCAACAAAAAGTTAGATGGGGGAATGGGAGGTAGGGGATCGGGGAGCTAAAATGGACCGAGATGGTCTGATTGCAGCTCCTACCTATGTGAGATTTGGGCTGGTTCTCTTCTGTTTAGTTAAACCAGTGGGAGGCTGTATGGCACCATGAAGCACTTCCTAATCTGGTAAAGGCAAGTCAGAGAACAGCTTCCACTGAACAGGTATAAGGTAAGATTAAAGCCATTTATAAAGTTGTGCCAGGGGCATTTTTTTTTTTCTTTCTTTGGAGGGAATGAAATGCCTGTGCTGGCTGTACTTAGCTATAAAATGAAGTCTTTCAATGGTTGCCAATTGGGTTTTGGGATCTGAATTTTAAAGGAGAAGTAGTGGTGAACGTTAACACTTTGTCACTTAAGTGGATATTAATTGATGGAACGGATACCTCTCCATCAGTAATTTTCTGGGAAAGATGAAATCTAAGTTGATCAAAATGGATCTACCCATCTTGCAACCTACAGGGTACTTCACTGCTTGCAACCACTGAAAAAGAAAAACCTGTGCCAGAAACCTGTCTTGTGTGTGTGTGTGTGTGTTTACAATGGAGATTAATCTAAAAAGCCAATAATCCTTGCTACTGTAAAAGATGAAAGGACTTTCTCACTCTTGGTCAGTGCTGTTAGCTGAAGGTGACCTGTTACCTGTTACCAGTCTTTTCTTTTGGTGAACTGTAGCAAACCAGAAAGCCTCCCCAACAGCAAAGCAACATCGTGCTTTAATTAAGTCTTCTAGCAAAACCCCCCTCCTTCTCAAGGCCTTAGAAATAACTCTATCTTACTAACTTTTTCGCTATTATCACAGATTTCTTATATTTAAAAAACAAAAGTTCCAAGCATAGCATTCATGGACTATGTACATAAGTGCAAAAAAGGTGTGTCTCACACAGTCGCACCCTAACTGAGACCATCAGTTAACTGCAGCATATGTCTCTCAAACACTGTTAAGGGGTCATTCCACAGTATCTTTATGCATGGTTTTACAAATACGAATTCATTCAAAAATACGGGTCCATCATTCTTTAATCCTCATCTGGATGTGTTGGGCTGGGTATATAAATCCAAAAAAGAGAATTTCTGTACTGACAGCTATGCCTCCTGCATAGAGTAATTTGGAATAAGTAATGTTATGAAAAAAAGGTCAGATAATAGATGAGAAATGCAATGATCGCGTTTTGAAGTCGAAATACTGTGGAATAACCCTATCCACACAACAAATTCTACAAGCTAAAGAGCCTGACTCTAGAATCCATGTGTTGTAAACTTTTTGATCAAAAAGTCATATAAGGACACAAATTCAGCTTTCGCATGGCAATTTGGGATTAAAGAAAAATTCAGCCAGATCTGTTCTCTGAGTTTTGAGCTGCACCTTCTACATGCTCATACTGTCAAAAACCATGTATAGTTAACGAGTAAAATTATCACACAAAACAAAACACGTGTCTAAAGGTAGCCATGTTGTAGTTTTGTTGCTAAAGCAACAACTAAATATAATTAGTTAAAAATTATTATTTGTATATAAAGTTAAGTTTGTTCTTAAACTGTGAGCTGTAAAGAATATTTATGGACTATAATCTATATCTTGTCATGCTTCGGTGTCAGTTTAGAACCTATCTAGGTGGGTTGAGTACATGTAGTAAAATCTTAATCTTTTCTCTAACTCTCCTGCAAAGTTAAATTCATTAGTGACTTAGAGATATAAAAATGTAGTATAATAAAAACCTTAAAAACTAAAAAGAAAAATGAAAACCTGGCACCAATGAGGGACTTGGTGCTCAGAAACTATGTCTGCAATTATTATCTACAGTTTGATGACGCTACCAACTAAGTTTGCAAAAAAAGTTGTGATACTCTTTTAGATACTATTCATTCTGGTGCCTTCGACGGGCACTGGTAAAATGAACAATGAGGCCACTATCTTCCTACATCTATTCAACACAACTGGGAGGGCCTATTTCCCTACTTCTATTTCAGTGTGTGTAGAAATGGAGAAGAGACAAAAAGAAAGAGGATTCCAGTTTCTAATCATTCTGTGCATTACAGCCTACCCTACAGACTAAAATAAATCGGAACCTTAGTGAACACAGCCCCGCGGTGCAGGACAACACTTAACGGCAAGATCAAAGTGCTTTCGCATGTTCAAAAACAGATGGCAAAGGTTGATGGAGGAGGGAGAAGATGACTTTTCACATGACAATGAACTACAAATTAAGACTCTAGTCAAGTGAGATGAAGTGCAACAGCTGGTTAGAGAATCATGCTCCAATTGCAAAAGTAAATACTGTATTTAAATAGCAATTTTATGAATCCATTTGGTTTTAATTTCATCTTAATCCCTCTTTAAAATATACTTCTATTCACATAGTGCCTTTAAAAAAATTTTTTTTGATACTACTAAAACCCTCTTAACAGATAACTTTTAGATTATTTTCTCTGTATACCTGACCTGTTTTATCCAAGTTTCAGTACTCTTGCCTATTTTTGCAAAAGGCTGAGAGAAATGGACAAAAACAATAATTTTGGATAAATAAGAATAGAAGCCCTTGTAAAATACAAAGCTTATAAAAAGTCAACTAAGAATCACAAGTGGTTAGAATTTTATATATACAATTCATCCAGTAAATTATTGTTTAGAGTCACTGATTAGTTTTGTGACTTGGCTTTTTAACTGGAAATTTATAGTCTAATGACTCTCCTTTCTTCGTTTCTTTTCTTGAATAAAGAGAATCAGCATAAGTCATTGCACAACTAGTTTAAAGAGTGCTATCTTACAATTGCATTTTTGTCAGCGTTCTTTTGCATCTGATCAAAACTTGAGTGCTTTGAATCGTCTTTCTTCTAAATTCACTTACAAAGTAACTTTTAAAATGCCAGCCATATCAAATATTGTGGCACCCACACTGCAACTACCCTGAATATCCTTCACTGAACCTCCTACTGAAAAATAAGTCATCATGGATGTCTTCCAGTGCTCTCGGCATCATAAAAACCACTGTACACTAGGCTGCTTGTCTATGTACATCTTCGTCAGAAGTGTAAAAGGTTAAATGAGACAGTATACGTTGTATCAAAATGTCAAACTACACAAAAGAGTTCATTTCGCACTGAAGACATCTCTAGCCCCTTTAAGGAAGACCCCAGACTAGCTCAGGTGCATCCTTCCTGGGTTTGTGTGATTAGCTCTGCCAGCACGGGTTCTACACACAAGTTATTTCACAAAGGTGTACTCTACTTTCTTCTCTAACAACGTTAAGATTTTGGGAAACAGAAATTAAGTGGCTCATGGAGTCAACAGGCAAAAGTCTGGCCGTGTCTTGTTCTCTAACTCCAGGCAATACTGTTAATAGATGACAGGGTCTTGATGCAAGCAAGACCCTTTAGAAATTACTGATGATCGTGATTTGGGACTGATCATTAAGAACAATAGGATATCAACTCCCGCACAGTTAATTTTGCCCTTTTGTATTTTGAGCGGAATGGATCTGCTTTGGGAGGGAGTCGCGAATGGGCCAAAGCACAAACGGTGAGAAACAGAGGAACAACCGAAAGTCGCGAGATTTTTCTGGGTCTGACTGCCACTGATTAGGTAGGTAGCCGTGGGCAGGTCACGTGCCCCGGGCCCCAGTTTCATCCCTTGTGAGAAAGTTGTGCGAACTCCACTGTTCTATGATTCAAATGCTGCTAACCAGCTTAAGGTATCCTAAATCCCATTTTCTCTTTGCTTGTCATTTTCCTGAAGGAGAACAAACCTGCTATAACATTAAGTTTGCTGATTGTATGCCTTCTAGTGAAAGAATATATATTTAGTAGAAAATATTAAACCTAGGTTGATGTGAAGTGTCTTATGGTTCCAGCACTGTATAGCAATAGTAACTTTAATAACTGAGTACAGTGGAGGAGGTATGTCACCTACCATACGAACTACTGTTTTACTTGGTTATACAATTATTTCACGAGGACTAGTAACGTGAATTCAGCTCAGCTCCATGGAGCGTAGCTGGTCTGCCTCATCTAAAGGGTGCTGAGAACCTATTACAGTTTTCAAATACATATAAAAACAAACAAATCTAAACGAGGAAACAAAAAAAGGCTTGGTTATGATATGACTCTGTTGTTAATAAAGTCTGGGAAAGGCAACTTGACACAGATGTTGGCTCCTTCACTGAAGCATTCAACAGAATTGGAAATTCGGGTGAACTGAAGCTAAAGACAACTGTGGACAGCCTTCCTAGCAGTTTTAAGCAAATCAAAGACGCACTTGAAGTGTCTTCCTACCCTCCTCCTCACCCCCCACGGTTTCTCCAAACCTATACTCATGCTCCAGCTGTGATCAATGGGGAAGGCTATCCATCTGGGGAGGAAAGGCCTCACTCAGAACCACTTTTCTTTCACCCTGACTTTTGCAAGATTGCCTCACACACTTTCCTCTAAAACGGAAAAACTATCTCCACGCCCTCACCTCCCTGTTTAATTTATAACCTACAATTAGCATACCTTTAAGCCTCCAAGTACCAATCTTCAGCTGAAGTTGACAAATGGCTCAGCTTTAGATGCTCAGCCTAGGAGATAGGATCCTTGAACCACAAGAAATGTAATGGGCTCTTCACATAAATGCTGAGAAATTTACCTTTAAAGGTAAATTGTAATTTTGCAAGCTTTTTGAGCAGTGAGATTAGGGGTTCATATTTTCAGAAGTTCCCTGTTTTTTGCAGGTAATTATTTCTCTCTCCCCTCAAAAAAACCTAGTCATGTGATTGTATTATGCAAGGTCAGATCCACAGGTACAAATTATACACATGCATGTTTATAATGAATGTCTGCCCCAAGAAACCTACAGAAATGTTCTAAAGAGAGAGAAAGCATGTTAACATTAATCTGTTATGTTTTTCAAACACAGATATTTCTGTTTCCCATTAGTAATATTCTAGTTGAAATCAAACACCACACATCTAGAGGAAAACACTATAGTATGTCAAAATCTAACACAACACACCACACCACAATACAATAGTGAGGAAAATGGTACTGGATACATTTGTTACATTCTAAATCAACCCAATAGACTATTGTGTAAACAAAACAGTAAGGTAACACTTTAAAACAGACAAACATTTACCCACCAAGAATGCACAGTAAGCCAACAGTCCACTGTGGAGATTCACTCAGCATAATGGTTATTGGAAAATCACAAAGAATAATGTAACAAACTACAAAACTTTATGGTCGTGTTCTACCTACTAATTCAAATAAGATAAATGTTAGTTATTCATTTTCTATGTGTGTTTTGTTTTAACATCTCCACTGACTGTTTAATGCTTTATTGGTTTTGTTTGAATCTGTTGGTTGGTATATGCGTTTGGTTTAATATATTGACCGCATCACACTTATTGTAGCATTGGTAGAAGAGGACCTATGAGAATATATATGGAAAGGCCATATGGAGGTTCTCACGGAGAGATCTTGATACTCTGTAACTCTGTTGTTCAGAATTTCAACTGAAATGGAAAAAAAAAAAAGAGAGAGAGAGAAAGAGTGAGAAATATTAAGGGGTTATTGAAGCAGGAGTCGGGATACTTGGTTCTTGTGCCAGTTCTGTATGCGAACTGCCAATATATTCCCCACTCTGAGTTTCATATCCTACACCTGTGAAAATGGGGCTGTTGGAAAGGGTCACAGAGAGTCATACGGCATGACAGTTCATGGCCTCACTGAGTGCTAGTGCACAGAACTGCCCTAAGGTGACAGAGATGCGCTCAGTCATTTAAGGTTTCATCCACACAATGCCTGAACGTGTGGATGAACAGCCACCCATCTCTCCACTTCCTTCAACATATATTGGGAAAACATGTTCGATACCCACCATTTTGAAATATGCAAATATGAAACATACTTTAAACTTTTTTTATTTGAATTGTTTGGAGCCATGCAGAAATAGCCAAGGTGTGAAATCTAGGTATATAGCATTTTACAAAATTACTCTCTTGAACTTTGGAGAAATTTTCGACATCTGTCACACACTGAAGTGATTATGGTGTGTTAAATACGTCTAAATTTTCTAATGGAGTCTAGCAAAAAGGAATCACGATTCTCAAACGTGCTGTTGGAAAGCTCGTCATTATATTTGACAACTTTTGTTTACTTTATTGTAAAGCAGCCCATGAGAATCAGGCAGGTGTTTGCAAAACCTATATTCTCATGTTTGATGCTAATCCCAAGTTGCCACCATCCCAAATGATTCGCCTGAAAACAATTACAATTTACAGCTACTTCCGTTATTCCACATACTCAAAGGTGTCTTTGTAAAACATTCCTTATGATCGAAGGGACTTGTTTGTCTAATGGTCTAATGTGCAGTCAAGCCATAGGCTCGGTCCAGGACAGAGTTCGTGTTCTGGGCCAGGTTCTGGGGAACTAGTTCACCAAGAGAACAGAACCATCACCTCCGTCAATTAAATGAAACACTCCAGTCGTGAGAACCTCAAACCTTCAATGACTAATATATGCAATTCAGAATTCGTACACTTCTTGTTTAATAAGTCCCTACCAGTAATTAATTAAGATACCCTGGAATCTTAAGTGGCTTGAAAAGTCACATTTTCCAAGTGAAGGACTCCTCAAATTAAGTGTGTGCTATGCCTGGCTCTGGATGGGGCAAATGGGAGATCAAAGGGGTGGGGGGTGGGGTAACGGGAATCCAACAACAACAATTTTTTTTTTTTAAAAAAAGCCACGATTTGAATGAAAATAATGATTATATTACTAAATTATATCACTCAAAATTCAAAACAGCTGGAGCAATTCTGATAGATTTACATGGAAAGCAACACAAAATGGCAGAGTGTAAAAAGCACGATCTTTTACGATATCACGGGAGAAGTATATTGCTGACTGCCTTTAAGATATTCATTGTAGTCAGACTGTGACAAAATTACTTTGCTTTACTTCAACAACAAAAAAACAAAGCTAGAAAAGTGTTAAAGAATTAATATTCAAAAGTGATCTGTGCCTTGGGCTGACAACTCACACTCCTAACAGGAAAACATTTCAGAATTTGTAAGCTCATTGGGAAAACACAGTACTGGCTGTCATTTTTTCATAGAAAAAATTGCATATTTGCTCTCCACATTTCAATTTGGAAAATTTGGAATGCTTAACTCAAGCTCTACGTTATAAGCAATGCCTAGTAATGAAAATATTTACCAAAGCCTTTAGCAAATGCAATTGTGTAAATATAAAAGATATCATCTATAAATATTATTCATATTAATACTTAAAGAAACTTACTGTTCTACTGGTAACTTCTACATCTGTGAAACAAACATGCTGCTATTCAGTTCATCTACTGATAATGGGGGTATCTATAGTAGTAAAAAAGATTTTAGATTAAAATAGTTTCTTGAGAGAATCCCATTTATTTTGTTCACTGTTTGGACATGGCAATTAAAAAGCAAATCAATTTCACAGAAAAAATGAGACATATTAACCATATCCACTAATGGTTAATTTTGCAAAGCACAGATTAGAATGTGGCTTATTCCCCCAGTGGATTAATGCTCTGCGTGCTGTGTGGTTATCACTTGTAATTGAAGCAGCTGTGGAACGTGCAGGCTTGAAGCATGGTTACCACCTCAGTAAGGCAAAACAGCCCTCACGTTACACGATGATTGTTCTATGTATCTCATGACAATTTCGAGACTCTCCCCCAATTTAAAATCTGTCTTGGACTCCACCTGCAAATACCTAAAGCAAATGAAAATCACAACAACACAGGCACATCTAAGGTCCGTGTGAGATCTCTGATGTCATCACTGAGTGTCACCGAGTGTCGGAGTGTCAGTGTGACAGTGCTGACGTCATCACGGGCTAATGATAAGGATATCTGTGCCCTGGAAAGAAGTGTGCTGTTTGGCTTTCTTTCCAGCAGATCTGAAGGTAAAAGGTGACGATAGTACCAAGGGCAGGTTCAAACGCAATAACTGAAACAATGGTAGTAAAATAAAATAGATTCTTCTCTTGACCAATGAGGAAGTATTTAAGGAGTACTTAGTATATGTGTTTGAGGATTGGTGTGACAGCAGCAATCGTGAAGATAGCATAGGAAGAGTGACCTCCGGGAACTGACTGAAACTGAGAAAACTGCTGATTCACCTCAGGATGGGTGGCAGATACACCCATCCAGAAGATACACAAGAACAAAAATTCTAAGTGTGACGACTGCTTAAGAAACACCCAGGAGTACGGCTCAGTGTCTCTCGCCAATCCCAAAGGCATATACTGTGCCTTAGCAACACACGGTAGTTCTCTACGTCTGAACAGGTAAAATAAACGGCCAAACCTGATTGCCTGTAGCTGATGCAGCGAAGGGGACGCTGGTGGCAGGTGTTGGTGCTGCAGACACAGTGGTGGGAGCTGCGCCGTGCATCATGGGCACTTTCAGTAGGCAACCACGGAAGCAACACACGGGAGGGTGGAGAATTTACGCAACCATGACAGAAAACGATGGGACGGGGCGCGGTAGGTAGCACAGCAAGAAGCCATGGGACATCATCGTAATGGACACACCGGGGTGCAACATGCAATCACAGCGCAAAGCAACACAGCGTGGAAGGGGGAAAAAATTTAAAAAGAGAAAAGGGGAAAGCCCATTATAGTTACCATTAAGGAAAACGGCATCACTCTCAACAGCTAGTTGTTTAGCAGAATCCCATTACATAGTTGACTTAAAAGGCTGAATTTTCGGAAGGAGCTACGATGAGCGCATAGAACAAAAGCTGATTTTACCAAGGCTACCTATTGGAATGCCTCGTCAAGCAGGTGACTGGGATGCACAGTTGAAATGTGAGTGGGGAAGTGTGAATTGGTGCTTGGGTTCGCTAACTGAGAGACCTGAGTATCATCACTAGCTTGGCACGTGCATAGAGACAGTTACAGGTATACTTACCTGATCTACATGTGGAAAAAAAAAAAAAAGGCAGTTCGATTGGTGGGTACGTGGTGGGGGAGAAGATATGAAGAACACAGTGGATTGTGCATGCAGGTTTTTAAGTACACCTCTGGCAAATCCCTTGGAAATCTACGCTGTCTGTCAAACAAACACATGGGGGGCTTCCTAGTAAACACCCGACAAAATTTTGTCTTCATCGCAATTATTGAAGTGACGACTGTAGGGTTAGCAGCTGTCACGTCTCTTTCAGGATGTTCTCTTTTTGCCTTGTCTAGTTTCTGTCTCATTTTAAAAGCTTTTGGGATGCTTTTCTCATTTCTAGCTCATTTTGGAAAGCAAACTAAGGAATTAATGTGTGAATGGTACGGCGTGAATAGCGAGCATGCATATATAATAATTTATGTCTACATCCATTGAGTTCAGATTTTCTGAATGTCTACAGAGAAAGTAAATGGCCTGGAGAGAGGAAAATCAATATATACAATGTCACAGAAACCACGAATGTACCCCAAGTGGTGATTAACAGAAGTCCTGTAGTTACCCCTTAAGCGTATCTCCAGTAACCCGTTACCTATAGACATCCCTTAGTGTATCACTTGTCGATTCTAAGAACACTCTTGCTTGCCCTTTCGGAGCACAGTGCCACTGAGGCATGCAGTTTGCATTCCTACACATTTCACCAACTTGCAGAAGTCTGTTCTAATCATACGCGTGTGATGCTCCTGTTAGTATCAGTGGACATGTTTTACTTCCTATAGGGGACAGCCGATCCCTCCATAACGGAGGCCCCACCTCCGAGGCCAGGGGTCACCCCCTGCTATGTTCGTGAGTGCTACTACTGTGTGTCATTTTGACCTTTTGTTTTATTTCAGTAAACCTGTTTGTCCCTTTTGGGTTCTGCATCTACTCTGGTCAACCAATAGGACGGAGGTCAGGCTATGGCAAACTCTCAAAAAGGATGAAAAGCACTGGATTGATAGGACATGGTGGGGTGGGGGGTGTGCGGTGGGACAATTCCTCCCTGTATCAAATGGAGCTGTTTTCCCCTGGTCTGTGCCCATGGACTGGAGGAACTGAGAACTCCTACAATGGAAACAAGTCAACTTTCTTGTCTTCTTCAATGTTAGTGACGTAAAAATGGTCTTGAGGTGGCTACCAGATTGTATTGGTGACTGATTAAAGGATCGGCGGGTAAGTGATTGTTAAGAATCACATATCCCCAAAGAGTCATTCTGAAAGGATTCTGTTGTGCCTAGTTCCCATGCTCCTGGCATTTCCTCCCAGGACACTACAGAATTCATCCCAGAACACTACAGAAGGCTCTAGCTTTGCCTAACTCATTCCTTGTCAACATAGAATGCTTTAGATCTTGTGGATAACTTTGGTGGGGGAAGGGGGGCAAGAACTGTTTTGTTATACTTTATGAATTACACGTTAGAAAGCAACAGGTGTAAAGCTAAGAAGAAAACTGCCCATTCTGGCTGGCTAAGGAAATGTTTCAAAATAGTTCAGCCGCAATTTTTAGGATGAAAGGAGAGAAATGGCAGGGTCAGTATTTGGCCCCAGGGGCGATCACCTAGGACTCAAGAGCGTAGCACTGTTGTCATTCCACAATGACAAAGATGTGAAACAGACAGCACCCTATTAAATCTTCACTCTTCAGAAAATGTCCAAAGAGTGCTACAAATATCAGTTTTAAAATACAAAAGTGCAGAATTCTCTTATTTTCTTCCTACTGGGGATGAAGTACCCTAAGCTGCTTACGCTTAGCGATGCAACTCGTTTTCTAGGATACCTGTACATATAAATTATTCTAATCACGGTATAGCTGCATTATAATCGTAGGAGAGGGAAAGGTCTGGTAGCCACAGTGGTGAAATTGCAGTGAGAAGTTAAGTACCTTCTTGCAACTTTTGTCATCAATATGCTCAGCCTTCCATAGAGCAAAGGCAGGCCACCATACCACTTCCAAGCTTCTTTACCTTGCCTGCTTTCTCTCTTCTTTGTGCCCTGATGCTTTCCAAACGCCCCTTCCTCCCAAGCTGGTGGCCCATGAACCACATCACCAGTCACTCGTCTCCTTCACAGTCATGACAGAAAAACACTTATTTTCGGATTAGAAAAAGTTGAGAATGCTTGTACAAAACCTACCAACACTTGAAGCGGGTGCCATGCACAGTACTGGCCCTGTACACCATGCAGAAAAGCGTGAAAAGTAAAGGAGAGAGATTTCATTACTAAATCTTTACGGAGAGAAATCATTTTTAACTAGAAAGATATTCTTTGCAATATTAATTAATGAGCACATGCAAATCCAGTAAACTCCCATGCTCACAATTACAGCTTAGTTTTAAGCTCCCAGCCCAGGTAATCAAAGTAATTCTTGGATTCTTAGGTATAAAACTGAACGTTAATTGTTTCTTTAAAGGAATTACCTTGCTTAAATTGCATTTTTATTTTGGACACCTATTACCATAGCCTCATCCACCTCACAACGGTGAACTTGACGATGAACACAGAGCAAAGAGGTTTTTCATCAAGAGGGGGCGCTCAGCCCAACAGGTTTTAATTTTGCCATTAATTAGGGGGAAAGGGATTCTTCTGACATTTCGCTCCTAAATCTAGACTTTAAATTAGCCATATCCAGCAAAAAAAGTCTAAAAATTGTAAAAATTCTGTTTTTTTAAATAAAGAACTACTGTGGTTAAAGACTGGTTTTCTATGGCTTCTTTCTAAATTAATTAGCTGATTAATTTAACAATTAACCAATGGGTGTTTTCAAGTGTAGGTATATAATACCATGTGTTTAGTACGTTTATATAGTCAATAAGGTTCTCTAAACTAATTTTAAAGCATAGCAGTTTCATTTAATAATAGTTTCCAAACCGGGGCATTTATGATTCTGGTAAAAAACAAAAAAACAAAAAAACAAAAAAACAAAAACCACTGTACTCCCAGTGGTTAGTATTTTCAATTTATTCCTAATATATGCTCATTCTTAAAGTACTGAACCACAGGAAGAAAAGTATTTCTCCTCATATGTGGTATTTATTTGAACAAAATTTTCTATTCAGTTTGGTACAAAACTGTTATGGTATTACATATATTTGAATGTAGAAGGTAACAAAATATCCTGCATAGTATCAGGAAAATATGATAAACTGCTCTATTTTTTATATTAACTGGTATAAGAGTTAAAGGCTAAAAGTATGTGAGATATATATATATACACACACACACACACTATACTGTCTTATAACTACACTGTAAGTTCAAGGGTAGGTTTATTATAACTATCTTTGGCATATCAAAGATATACAGATGACGTGTTTTTGCAATGCTGAAGCTGGGAAACATTTTTTTTTTTTTTTGAAGGGTGACCAATGTCTTTTCAGGGGATACCTAAGAGTCAAGGAATTAGTTTGAGACTGAATCAAGTGAAACAATCATCAGAAGCAAAAACTAAGAAATGTTAAAAAGAAAAATGTCAACAGTTTTTCCTCGTTTGATTTCAAACCATTACTTTTAAGGAATCATAGAGACATTTGGTCCGAAAGACTGGCAGAGCAAGTCTAACAGCCTTGTTTTATTTCCAACCCAAACACCTGTCCACAGTTCTCCATTAAAGCTCTTTGGCAGCTGGTGTGCGCTGTACCCATTCACAACATGGCTAGACTCGCGTGGCCCAGAGCCCTGTTCTCACCTGCAGGGATAAATGCCGGCTGCGGGAGCTGCAGGTTAGCCAGAGCCTGTTGGCAGTGGAAAACGCTGGGGTTAAAGACCGGAGTGGCACCATTGGTCTTTTCAAGTGCCGATCTCTTTGGTATCAGCTGAAGCATACCAGGCTGGAGGGCC